GGCTGCATTAAACAAGTGATTTTGTATTGGCCTGTTTCCAGTTTTTTAACATTTTGGATTAGAAAAGAGATAAAGGATAACAAAGGAAATAGATATAGTGGTCCTTCATCCTGTGAATCTGCTTGGCTGAGAAAGTCAACTGAGGGCTGTAGTTGTCAATTGGTAAAATCCAGTTTATAGTAATCAATTACATGAAATCATTCAGTAGAGAGGAATACAGTTAATTCACATATAATAACTGTAATAATCTTCAGGGAGAACCTGCTGTCCTACATCACTTAGATCCATGATGTTGAACCTATGGCACACATGCTGGAAGTGGCACGCAGAGCCACTTCTGCCAGCATGTGAGAGGTCACCCAGAAGAGCCCCACTGTGCATGCGCGCACCGCCGATAGCTGATTGTCGGGTATCTGGCGTGCATGTGTGGAGGGTGGGGGTGTACGGGAGATGTGCATGCATACACAGGGAGGGGGGCCTCCCCACACGCATTGCCTTCTGGGTGCTGGCATGCGATCCCATACGCACGCAATTTTCAGTATGGGAGCCCAAAAAGATTAGCCACCACTGACTTAATTTAGTTTAGTTTACTTTATTGTCATTGCACCTCGTACAACAAAATCAAACACCATCTTCAGTGCACATCATGACCATGAAAATAACCACAAACACACATCCTTCACACTCCACACATTGAATTGAAAACTCCAACACCACACCAACACTGCACTATATAATAGAATTCAACAGGGCTATTGCCCTGGGATAGAAGCTGTTTTTCAGCTTATTTGTCCTTTCTTTTATTATTCTGTACCATCTGCCAGATAGTAATTGTTCAAAAAAAGGGTGCCCAGGATGAGATGGATCTTTAAAAATGTTTTGAACTTTCCTAAGGCAGCAGGAGCTATAAAGCTCTTCCAAAGAGGGGAGAGGGCAACCAATGATCTTCTGGGCAATGACGTTAACCCTCTGGAGTGCTTTCCTATCTGCCCTGGTGCAATTGGAAAACCATACAGAGGTACAGTAAGTTAAGATACTCTCTATGGTGTAGCAGTAGGTCACCAGCAGTTTTCATTCGGTTGTTGTTTTCTGAGAAGTCTCAGGTAGTATAATCTCTGCTGGGCCCTTTTGACCAATGCTGCAAAGTGAGCACCCCAGGTCAGGTCCTCTTTTTTGATAACACCCAAAAACTTAAAATTGACCATTTGCTCCACTTGATCTCCATTGATAAGCAAGGGCTGGATGTCTGATCTGTTCCTTCTATAGTCCGCTATAAGCTCCTTGGTCTTATTGGTGATGAGGACCAAGTTATTGTCTCCATACCACAAAAGCAACCGGTCCACCTCATCTCGGTAGGCACACTCATCCCCCTGGAGATGAGTCCTACCACTGTTGTATCATCTGCAAATTTAGTAATAGTATTATTAGTGTGAGTGGGAATGCAGTCATGTACTCTTTAGAGTAGGGACTCAACACACAACCCTGTGGTGTACCAGTGTTAAGAATAAGGGCTGAAGAGGTATGATTACCTAATCTGACCCTCTGTGAGCGGCCAGATAGGAAATCCATAATCCAAAGGCAGATTGAATAAGAAAGTCCAAGGTCCAGAAGTTTAGACACTAGTCTATGTGGAAGAATTGTGTTAAATATAGAACTAAAATCTACAAAAACATCCTCACATAGTCCGTGTCCCCCCCGCCCCCGCCCCGCTTTCTAGATGAGTCAGAGCAGCATGAAGAATGATGGCTATAGCATCCTCTGTAGATCTATTTCTTCTGTATGCAAACTTGTGTTTATCAAATGTATGCGGAATACCAGAAATGATGTGCCGGCAGACCAATTTCTCAAAACACTTCACGATGATAGGAGTGAGTGCCACTGGTCTGTAATCGTTGAGGTTATTGATAGGGAACTTCTTTGGCAGCGGAACAGTGGTGGAACCTTCAAACAAGATGGAATAGTGGACTGGGATAAAGACCGATTGAAGATCCTGGTAAAGACTCCAGCCAACTGATCAGCACAATCTTTAAGCACTCAGCCAGAAATACTGTCAGGACCAGCAGCCTTTCTAGGGTCCACAGCCCTCAGATTGCTCCTCACCTCCTGTTCCTCCACAATGAGGTGGGGGCTACAATTGGCTGGTGGTTGTATTTTATCTGTCTCTGATGTCTCCAAAGCGAGCAAAGAAATGATTCAGTTCCTCTGCCAATGAAGCATCCCCCTCAGCAGAAATGACATTGGTCAGTTGATGGCTGGTAATTTGTTGAATCCCTCGCCACACCTGCCTCATGTTATTGCTATAAAAATTATCCTCAATCTTCCTCTTATATAATCAGTCTTGGCCTTCCGAATACCTTTCTTCAGATTAGCTCTGGCAACACTGTATCTTGCCCATCACCGGACCTAAAGGCCTTGGTCCTGTCACGCAAGAGGTGCTGGACTTCCTTGGTCATCCAGGGTTTCTGATTGGGATAGATCCTAATACGTTTATCCAGTGATAGTATCTGTGCAATGTTTGATATAGCACAGAACAATTGCAGTGTGCTCCTCTAGGTCAGGGTGATAATAGCTGTCCCAATTTGTGTTCTCAAAATAATCCTGAAGTTGTTGGGAAGCATCTTCTGGCCAAGATTTCACTGTCTTTATTATAGGCAGAGCCTGTCTCCTAAGAGGGATGTATGCTGGTGCTAAAAGCAGTGACTTGTGATCTGAATGTCCCAAATGTAATTGTAGAACCTTATAGCCATGTTTGTTGTTGGTATGTACTTTGTCCAATATGTTTGCTCCTCTAGTAGCACACTTAACATGCTGGAGAGGATGGTGTATGTAACTATCTCTTGGGAGATCAGGGGACGATTTGATCACATACCACGTTGAATTCAGCTGGGGAAAAAGTCCAACTAAGAATTATAACTCTATGTTTTTAGGATTTGCAGATTAAAGGAGAGCTTGCAAATTCTTCCTGACTCTGCTCATAGGGATTCTTCCTCATGCAGGATCCTGTGTCCTTTGAGGAGGTGGCTGTTCATTTCACCAGTGAAGAGTGGTTGCTGCTGGATTCCAGGCAGAAAGCTCTGCATCAAGAAGTCATATTGGAGGCTTCTAGGATTATAACCTCTTTAGGTTCATCTAGAGGAAAATTAAGTAAGATTTTTGCAATGAATTTTTTATTTTTTTGCTACAACAAAAATATCATTGGGTGAACAGTGTGGTTCCGTAGTGTCTTACATTTTGATACAAATATGAGAATATTCCTCTTGTTTAATATAGTTAACGATCTTTTAAAATTTTATATTAATACATATATTTTGTTAAATTATCAATCTTGATTATTCAATATTACAATGTTATTTTTGTGTCAATCTCTATATTCTTAATCTCACTCCTTTTACTTATTATATATTAATAATCATATTTGCAATGTTTACTAGATTATATAGTTCTAATAACAATTCACACATTTATCTTAAATTATAATTTTCCATTGTTTATCCCCTTTTTAATTTCTAAATATGTCACTATTATATTTTTTTTAAAATTCCCCTTTCTCGTCACATTTTGATTCAAATAAAATAGTATTCATCATATTGTCAGCATTCCAGAAAAACCCAACTCCAATTAAAAACCCCAAGGCAGGTATTTTCTCAAAGTTTCCTTTTATTAGAGTAGTTACACTGGCACATCTGGGAAAACCTGAATCTGAAAGTTCCGGATTTTCCTCCAATAAGTAAAAAATTACAAATCCACCCCCTGTACCCATCATTCCATCACATGCCGCAATCACCATCCATTCCAACTACTCAGCCAGGTGTAGGAATAACATGACCTTGACTGCTATTATGTCTAGAATGCTATTATGTCTAACCACATACGCTCCATGAAATCCCACCTCCCAACTTCCCACGCTCAAGAATGTGGCAGCATGGAAGCTTCTGGTCCTAATATGACTTCCAAAGCTGACACATATTTACGTTTAACAGGTTATGCAATTCTAATAATATAGTTGTTTTTATTAAATTATAGCCTTTCATTATCTTATACAATATTTCACAATATTATTTTTATATCAATCAAATTTCATGTAATTCCTTTTCCTGCAATTAAGTAAGATTGAGGAGTCACTGGACTGTTTATTTGCAGCTTAGGATATCTGTGCAGATCTTGTTAAAATGGTTTCTTACCTTTCTCTTTTCATTTTGTATTAATCCCGGTCCCCCTCTGTGGTCTTCTAAGTACCACAGTATCATTTAGAAGAAAGGAACTGGTTAGAGATAGTCAGTCTGGAGAATTGACATCTAGTCTTCCAGAACTACTGGGAATATAATCGGAGAGGGATGTTTTTGCTTTATTTCACTTGTCCTAATTAGCACCATTTTCCCCCCTGGAATTCTACTGCAATGATTTGGCTTTGGCACATCTGACAAAAGGGTTTATGCCACATCATGATGTCAAAATCTAGGCTGTAGGACACTGCATTAGTTGTTATGTTCTCTCATGTTTTGCATTTAAATTGTTGTCAAATACCCAGAATTAGATGAGTTGAGCAGCAATGCCAATGTTTTAAATTGAGAAATAGCATTCATGCTGTCATTCCTCATTTTGTTCTTCCTCCAAATGTCCAGGAATAGGTGCAGGCTAGGGATTGTTACGGGGATAGCAAACTATATATTATAGAGTTTTCTGATTTCTTTTTCTCCTCCCTCGAGCAGTTGATGTGCAGAAAAATGAAAATTACCAAGAACCAAGTGTGATGCCATCACAAATAATCAAAACTGAAATACGAGAAGATATATCTGCAGATAATTCGGGAAGAAGGAGATGGAGAGAAAACTCGACTGCTGAATGTGCAGAAATGGAACACTTCCAGATTCAACATGATTTCAAAGAAAGCAGTATGGGAAAGTGTCAAGGAAATGGGAAGAGATTCAAACCAAAACCCAATTTCAGTAACCACGGCAAAATTGGAAAAAACTTCAACAATAACACCAAAATTATCCCACATAAAATAATCCATACAAAAGAGAAGCCCTATAAATGTATGGACTGCGGAAAGAACTTTAGGTGGAGAGGTAATCTTAACTACCATAAAAAGATCCATTTGGGGGAAAAGCCCTTCAAGTGCGCAGAATGTGGAAGAAGTTTCAATATGAACAGTTCCTTGACTTATCATAAAAGGATCCATATGGGAGAGAAACTCTATAAATGCATTGACTGTGGTAAAACCTTCACTATGAACAGTGCCTTTACTTTTCATAAAAGAATCCATATGGGAGAGAAACCTTACAAATGCCTGGAATGTGGAAAAAACTTCAGCACCAGAAGTTATCTGACCTCCCATAAAAGAATCCACACAGGGGAAAAACCCTATAAATGTGTAGACTGTGGAAAAAGTTTCAGTATGAAAAGTTCCTTTACTTACCATAAAAGGATCCATAGGGGAGAGAAACCATACAAATGCCTGGAATGTGGAAAAAGCTTCAGTATGAATAGTTCTCTTACCTACCACAAAAGGATCCACACGGGAGAAAAACCCTATAAATGTCCGGTGTGTGGAAAGAGCTTCAGTAGCAGCAGTTATCTAACTTCCCATAAAAGGATCCATACAGGGGAAAAGCCCTATAAATGCATAGAATGTGGGAAAAGCTTCAGTTTGAACAGTTCCCTTGCTTCTCATAAAAGAATCCATACAGGAGAGAAACCATATAAATGCACGGACTGTGGAAGGAGCTTTAGCAGCAGCAGTTCCCTTACTTGCCATAAAAGGATCCATTCAGGGTTGAAACCTTATATATGCAATGAATGTGGGAAGAGTTTTATTTCAAGCAGCTCCCTTACTAAACACATTAGTATCCACTCAGGGGAGAAATTATACCCCTGTACAGAATGTGGGAAAAGCTTCAGATTGAATAGTCACCTAACTTCCCACAAGAGAATGCATTCTGGAGAAAAACCTTATCAATGCACAGATTGTGGTAAAAGCTTCAGTATGAATAGTTCCCTTACTTCTCATAAGAGGATCCATTCAGGGTTGAAACCTTATATATGCAAGGAATGTGGGAAAAGTTTTATTTCTAGCAGCTCCCTTACAAATCATGTTAGTATCCACATAGATGAGAAACTATATCAGTGTACAGAGTGTATGAAAAGCTTCAGATGGAAAAGTCACCTAATTTCCCATAAAAGGATGCATACAGGAGAGAAACCCTATAAATGCACGGACTGTGGAAAAAGCTTCAGTAAGAACAGTTCCCTTACTTCTCATAAAAGGATCCATACGGGAGAGAAACCCTATGAATGCACAGAGTGTGGGAAGAGATTCAGCAAAAGCTGTTACCTTACTTCCCATAAACGAGTCCACACACGGGAGAAACGATAGATATGCTCTGAATACGGGAAAGAGTTTTTTGTGAAAAATGGGATTCTTATGCCTAACACAAATTACAGCTTTGGAAAAAAAAAAATACATGCATGATGTGTGGAAAGAATTTCATATGGTGCTTGCTTCGGCAGCATATATACTAAAATTGGAATGCTATAGAAAGTTCATGTGGAGCAATCAATTTACTTTCCATAAAAGGACTGACATGGGGGAGATGCCTTTTGGGGTTGAAGTGTCCTGAATTCTTGTAAAAAGATCGACTGTGATATCAAACATATACAGTAAAAGCAGAGCTTCACTTAATAATTATGAATTGATATGTCTTAAAGGGTTCCACACAAGGAAAATAGCATGTAAGCACATACTATGGGAAGAGCTTCAAATGCTTTTGTTTCTGTATGTGCCTTGCAGATAGCTTTGCCATTGCTGTGATCATAGGGCTGAGAGAAAGTGACAGGCCCAAGATCACTTTGTCTCATGTGGGACTAGAACTCATGGTCTCCCAGTTTCCAGCCTGGTGTCTTAACCACTCCACCAAGCTTTTTCAAGTGGAATAGAACCTATTTTTGGAAAATAAGTTATTGTAGGTATGCATGGAAGAAACATTAGAATACATAAAATGCAGGAACAGTTTGAGAAGGAAATGTCCACTTGGGAAAGGAGTCTATAAATGCAGGGAGAATGGGAAGAAGTTAATCAAGGGCAGGTCCCTTAGTTCCCATGATGAAATCCATATCAAAGAACCACAAATCATGCGTGGGAGAAGAATTATCAAGTTGGAGTCTTGAGAACTTTAGTATAAGGAGCTCTTATTTCCCAGAAAAAGTTTCACATAGGACAGAATGCAGATATAAATGCATAGAACACAAGAAAGTCAGTCTTTTTATCTGTCTTACAGTATTCCCCATAAAAGAATTGACTTTAAGAATCCAATAAATACAATGCTCCCACAGAAAGAAGCGAACAGTTCAGAGGATCGTCATAAGAGAAACTGAATAAATGTATGAATTATGGAAAGAGCTCCCAATCTAGATTTTTTTAATACCAGAGATATTACCTAGTTATGTCTTGCTCACAAGAATCTTTTATTACATTGTCCTGCTTATTATGCCAGTATTTGTCAAGACCTGTGCCTGGTCAATTTGCTTTATTTAGGTAGAAGCAATATCTTAAGTTGTTCTGGGATCAGGCTGCAGGCTCTGTGAAGAGCTGACATACGCAAGCAAAGCAGAGGAAAATATGTTTGTATGTGTGTTTTAGCTCTAATTGTATTGAAAATACCGGCCTTCCTTCCATATATAGCCAAGTATTTCAGCTGTTTGTTCTTTTTTTCATATATAATGATGTGCATTAGTTGTGGTTTATCTGTGAAACATCTCTTCCAGGTGTTTATATGTACAATCACATTAATCCTGCTGTAAAGAGAAGTGCGGCCAGTGAGTTTATGATTGCAACTATTTACTTTAAAAATGTTTTTATGGATCCAACAGTGTATTCATATGAACAATATTTTTTAATGAGGGAACTAAATAGCTTGATTTAAATTACTCAGTGTCTTCTAACCAGGAACATATTTTCTAACATATTTTTATTTATCTATCTATCTATCTATCTATCTATCTATCTATCTATCTATCTCGTTCATTTCAAAGTGTGTGTGTGTCAGATAGAGACACACACTTCTGGATTTCTGTTACATTCCCAAACTGCTGAATTTGTCCAGGATTTCATTATCACTTTAGTACCACTGTATATTTTGTGATATCAAAGTAATGAGAAAGGTCAATCCTATTTGAAATTTTAGGGGACTGTGGCACTGCCAATTGGAGAAATCTTGTGTTGGTGTGGTTGTGACTGTGTTTTTACCTTAATATGGCTTTTTAAAAATGTTTCTGCATGTTCTGATTAACTGTATTTCTCATTTTGAAGGGTTATTATAATAAATTATGAGAAACAGTCATTGCACAATGTAAATGATGCCTCTACATAATATACATGCAGTAAAGAAACTAAATGGGGGAAAAACAATGAATATGTGGAGCAAACTTTAGTAAGGGGTGAGGAGTGGAATGGAAAGGAAGTGACAGAACAAGCTCAGATAAATCTGCATCAAAAGAATCCCACTGCACAGATGATGATTACATAGAAATCCATGGAATGTGAGAAAAGTAACAAGGCAGATTGACCTATAAGAAATGAGAGAAAGCACTGCCTCTAAAATGTAGGAAGATTCATTACATTTCTTATAATGTGGCATTTTTTTTCAGAATTTTCCTAATTATGTAAATTTTACATCTGTGGAGATAATCCATGGGACATTGAAGGTGCTTTACCCAACTTTCTCTTCTTCTTTTACACCAGAGGACTCAAAGAGCCAGAAAACTTTAGCCTTGCCTTTTTCTACAGTTGTGCAATGTAAATGATGCCCTACTTTATACACATTGAACAAAAAGGCTAGATGAAGAAACAGATGAATATGTAGGGGAACTTATCGGGAGAAGGGAGAGTGATAGAAAATGTTAGCAAGTGCTAGAAGGGTGGAATGAGTTCACATCCGACTTAGTTTCACACTGTGCATTGAAAACCATAGAATGAGAAAAGCATTAGTAAAGTAGATTTATCTATGAAAGAAGCAATCAACAAGAGACATTATATCCAATTGTTGGAAGAAATATCCTTCTGAGTTCAGTTCCAAGTGGGGAAAAGACACTGGAAACATGGAGGCTGTTTGGAAAGATGGTTTAATGATGGACAGGACCACATGGCTTGGAGCTCCAAAGTGAAAAGGACAATCGCATGCTTCAAGATGTTGGGTGAAGGAAAAGAGAGAAGGGCTGATATGCTGAGAGTGCCTGGGTTTTATACCCTCTGTTGGGATTTGAATTTGAGCTTGTATTTTGATTGGTTGTCAGACTCCCATGGGGCCATGCAGGAGCAATTCTGTAGGCTGTCCTGAGTCCCAGGCTTGGTCGACCCTTACTGGATGATGATGCAATGAAAGGGCTTTGGGTAATTCCTATTATAGCTCTACCTGGAGCAGATCTTTGTTATGTAAAATAGACTGGCCTAGGCCAGAGTAATGGTCCATTAGCAAAGGTGGGGGAGGGGCTGAGTTTCTGTTTCTGAGGTAAGATTCTGCTTCTGAGTTTCTACTCTTTTTAGGGGAAATATTCTGCCTTTTTAATGTTTCCTAGGATATTTCATTTTTCTAGGAGAGGGGTGGGTGCTAACTTCCTACACTATAAAATGTGGAACATTATAAAATCTTTGTCATCTTTATTAGAATTTTCCTAATTATGTAAATTTTACATCTGTGGAGATAATCCATGGGTATTGAAAGTGCTTTGGCCTACTTTCTCTTCTTCCTTTGCACCAGAGGACTCAAAGGGGAACCAGAAAATGTCAACCTTTTGCCTTTCTACAACTTGGAAGGTATTTTTGGCCTTTTAAGAATTTGAACTAGTGGGGAAGTCCAGGCAAGTCTATATTTATCTTCTCAATATCATTAAATAATGTATTGATTGAATAAGTCCATTCAATATTTTTTTTTATTCTCCAGCCAGCAATTCCACTCTTTTCCTTTGAAAATGAAGCTGACAGAAACAATATTATTCTGAAGGGTCTTTGGGGAAGAGTGGAGGCCAAGGCCTGAAAGGGATCTTGAGTGTGGAGATCTTCCAATATATTCTCAGTGATGGGGTGACTTCAAAGGGTCCCTGGGGGGGGGATCCCATCAGAGAAGCTGGAAAGGGGCTCCTGAGGGGGACACTAAGGGGGCAGAGGGGTCCCCTGAGGGAGAAGAGGGGACCAGAAGTGTCTGAAGCAGAGAAAGAAGTGACCAATTCAGTGACTGACCCAGAGAAAGGTGTCCAGTCCGTCCCTGACGACCTCTTAAGATTCCCGCTCCCTCCGATGGTGGCGCTTCCCTCAGAGTGGCGTCTGTCTCTCCGCTCTTCCCGCCAGAATAGGCTCCTCCCACTCCTCTCGGAACCCCTTTTCCCGCTTCTCCGCCTGAGGGAATCGCACTGGGAGAGGCGCGGCCAAGAAGAAAGGGGAGGAGTCACATAAGCTCCCGTCTCACCTGGGGGGGGGGTCCCAGTCCCGTTCTTTCCCCGCCCCCAGCGCACCAATGGTCCCTCCTACCCCCCACCCCTCTCTTACTGTGGGTCCTCCCCCCCTCCACCCCTATTCGCTTCTAGGGCTCCCGACCAACGTCCCCACACGCAGCAGCAAAAAGCGGAGCCCATGATGGCTTCCCCCAAGCCCCCTCCCCCAAGAGAGGGGAGAAGTAGAATGGGGGGGAGGGGTTGACAGGGTTACTTCGGAGTTGGCTTTCAAGGAATAAGTTGCGCCCAATGGGAAGACTCCCTTCTGTTGAGTCATCAGTCTCCGGGCAGAATCTCTCGTGATATCTCCGTGCGGAGAAAGTGATTGTGTGCAGCGCAACTGGGGGGACCTTTCCGTGTTCAACTGGGGGGCCCCCAGCGAAGCAATGTCTGTGGGAGGCATCGACTGCTGAGATGTGGAAAGCCCAAGCTACTAGCCGATGAGGCCCAAAATCTAGAGGTCTCCTCCAGCCACAGCTCCCTTGGTTTTCCCACGACCCGCGTGTCGAGAGAGAGAGAGAGGGGGGGAGAAGGAGGGCGTGGGCGTGGTGTAATAGTAAATAATAGTAAAAAGTGGCGACTGGGGCGATTTTTTTACCGATTCAAATCGCCCCTTACCACCTCTCTCGAGGTGGGCCGAGGTGGTTGAATTTCACCCCTGATGGGCTCCCAAAAGGACGAAACCGACATTTGATCTCCGCCTGGCTTCTCCAGGATGCCGCTTGCAGAGCTAGCTCTCCAGCGCAGGTGCAGTTCCGGGCAGAGGCTGCCCTGCAAAAGCCTCCAAAGCTACCCCCGCACAGCCGCGATTTCACCCCAAGGGCCAGCAGGGGGCGCGCTCTCTTGGCTGCCGACTAAGGCCATTGCGCATGCTCCACTCCGACTGCGTGGTCGGGTAATTCCGGCTGCGAGTTGCTACCTGGGAATCTAGTGGGGACGGGCAAGAGGTGGGGTCCCGCCGCTCAGATCCTCCCCAGGGGGAGGCAACGAGATTCTGAGGCTTGGGGGGGGGGGGGGGGGGGGGGGGACTCCCCCCCCCGCCCCGGGGCGGGGGGTGGCGGGGGAGGGGGGGAGATCCAAGAATGGGGCAGGGGGGCGGAGAGAAGGAAGCCTAAAGGAACTACCTGCTGACATCTTCAGATTCCGAGGCTGGAAGGATCTTTGGAGAGCCAGGCGAGCCAACGAAGACCAGTTGCCCGGCGGTGTCAGTGGCTGGAAGATCCCTTCTGAGACTGGCAGAGGAGAAGAAATAGGAAGGGCCCCAGGTCAGAAAAGCTTTTGGAGAATACGGAGGGATCTTCACATGCTTGAATTCTTCCATTTCTCCCTGATGGGAGTTTTGGAGATGAATAATGCGAGTAGATATTTAGAGAACCTCGTTAGATAAATTATTCTTGCTTCCCTCTAAAGCAGGGGTCTCAAACACAATTTACCTGGGGGCCGCTGGAGGCAGAGTCTGGGTGAAGCTGGGCCGCACCTAGAAGTGTTTAGCCAGCTAGCGACGCATGGAGAACGCACTAATATTATACTTTCATATCACGATGGGGGCCACAGGATATCGTCCTGCGGGCCGCAATTGGCCCGCGGGCCGCGAGAATGAGGCCTCTGCTCTAAAGAGTATCTCATTAGGAGCTATTCTCCTATTGGGTCTCATCCATCACCACTGATGGACACAAGGGTTTTGTGGGCAGAAAGAAACATCCAGATCCTCTTTCATCCTGTCCTCTTAACTGCACTTCTTTGCTTATATTTCAGGTTCTGAGGTCCTTCCAGGAATGGGGAGTAATTGGGTGGATCACACAAATCTTTCTCCTGATCTGTCTTTCAGAGGGATCCCCAAGGATAAAAGTCAAGGTCTGGATTCCTCACTAGGTAAGGGGAGACTGTTCCATTGGACTAGAGATTTTCTAGAGAAATTCTAGTTATCCATAATTCTTCATATCTTAGTTGTTGGGTTTGGTAGAAGGTAACCCCCAAAAGAAAGATATGATTCCCTCTTCAAGTGAGAAGACTTAAGGCGCACAAAGAAAATCCCTCCCTTCAGGGCAAGCCTATGGTTTGCCTTTTGCAGAAGACCGACTCTAGTAGGGGCCGTCTTGACTTGCATTCTGCTTCCAGCTCCACAATTTCTCTTTCTTTTTGGCCTTCCTTAAGAAATAGTTTTGATTAAATTTGTTAGGGATAACATTGGTTACCTAACTTAGTTTGGGTAAAATAATATATATAAACTATGTTAGTTTAAGTGTATGTATCACTTTAAACTGTAAACCAAGTTTTTTGGGTGCGGTTGTAAAATCACCATAAGAGGGAGCAAGAGAGCTTACTTTGCCGGCTTTTACTGGAATGCTGACAATGATGGATTGATGGTGATAACTGCGTGTTTGCTGAGAGAAGAAAAGGGGTTTGATTTTTCTTCATATCTCTGACTGCAAAAGAGATATATCACTGGACTGATATTGTAAGTTTAATGAACTCTTTTTCGACACTGGACTTTGCAAACTGAATAACCCCCGGACTGACTGAACTTAGTGTATGACATATGGACTGTTTGACTATGCTATAACTCTTGCTGGAATAAAAACTATTTAACTTGCACAGTGTATCTGTCTTACTGAGTATAAGCTACTACAACGTTTTTGTCTCACATATCTGCCTGCCTGCTAGACTGCCGTTGCACGTTTTGCTAGGGTGTATATCCCTAACAAAATTCCTACACTGCTGGGCCATTTCCAACACCACCTGTCCTTGCAGGCATGTTTCCTGGATTGCTAGAATTTCACAAATTGCACTTCCACATGGAACATGATGGTTTCAAACTGCAGGTTGTCATGAGTATGCTTCCATGTGTTGTTCCAAAAGGTTAGGAGACCAGTCAGTGATTTGGGCAAAGGGATAGATGGGGAATTCATAAAATTTGTAAACCAGACCATGCTAGTTTTTAAGTTGGAACAATGAATCGGTGAAACAGCTTGCCTCAAAAAGTTCTAAATGCTCCAACACTGAAAGTTTTTAAGAAGAGATTGGATAACCGTTTGTCTGAAATGGTATAGGGTTTCCTGCCTAAGCAGGAGGTTGAAGACCTACTTTTTTCCTCCAGAAGTTGTAAATGCACCTCCAAGATTCCTTCCAACTCTGTTATTCTATTCGATCCAGGTGAGGTTTGGTCTTGGGTGTTTGGGATTTGGTCTTCTCCTTTTGTTCTTGGCTCCCAGGATGGAGTTTATGAAAGGCAGAGTGTAGAAGTGGCAAACAGAGGTTTCCTGGGCAGGACAGGAAGAAACATAAAGTTGTGCCTTCAAGCTAGAAAAGATGTAATTGAACCCTTTCCTGTTTCCATCCTGTCTCTCTCTTTCTTAGTGGACAAAATACAGTCACCGTTGTTCATCGAATCATCTCCTTCTATTGGTGGAGCTGAAAGAGCCGCTGGACTCCTGACACAGGTAGGAAGGAAGAGATTAGCAGCTTATATGGGGGAGCAGTAATAGACCTCTAGTTTCCTTTGGGGACTCGACATATGATACTGCTATTCCTGGGCAAACCACAACAAGGAAATTAGAATTAGAAATTTAAATCTGTGATCAGTCAAACTACACCCATCTCTCAACTAAGTTTTGGAGATGTGTGGAATTCCTTAGTGGTTATATAATTCTGGTTTCAAAAAATGCCACATAGCAGTTTATGTTGCCTATCCCAAGAAAAAAGAAAGGAGATGAATAGGTAGGCTAAATCTACTTTATTGTAAGTGTAAGTGTAATTGTTGGGGAAAGGGATAAAAACAGGAGAAGCAGAAATTGCCTTGTGTCTTGTCTGCATCTTGATGACTGGAAGTGCTTCCCTAGTATTTTCATGAATGTTCATGAGAGTGATCTAAGGCTGGCCCATCATATAACCACAAAGAACATTTGGTTACTACCGTGTTTCTCATATAATAAGGCCGGGTCTTATTTTATTTGAGCCCCGAAAAAATGGCTAGGCCGTCTTTTCGGGGGTGACTTAATTCCCCCCCACTTGCATCTTTGGGCGGGCGGGCAGGCGGGCGGCGATGGCTTGGATGTTGACCTCAGCGTTGGTGGGGCACTTCGTATCGAGGTCAATGCAGGCAGCACCATATCAGGGTGTGCAACAAAAGTACTTCCTTACGGCAAGCTCCCCCACCATTCCCCCCCCATTTCGCATGTTTTAATATAGGCCTTAATTTGGGGGGAGGGGCTTAATTTCATTTCATGCCTATAAAACATGCTGGGACTTCCTATTGGGGGAGGCCGTATTGTTGGAGAAACAGGGTATGTCAGACAGGAATCCCACAGAATCTCTCACAAATATCATGAAGTGTTGAGGTCGTTGGTAGATGGTGTGTGTAACGTACGCTATGCCACTTGATCAAGGTAGGTTGATAATGCGGGTCAGCAGAGTCAGTAAAGGAGATAAAACATTTGAAGGTGTTTCACTTCTCATCCAAGAAGCTGAACACTTGGATGACTGAGAATCTCCACAGACATTTCTACTTTTAGGATTTCCATATTGAAGGAGATCTTGCAAATTCTGTCGAGTCTTCTCACAGGGATTCTTCCTTCTTTAGGGAGGTGACCATCCATTTCAACAGTGAAGAGTGGTTGCTGCTTGATCCCAGACAGAAAGTCCTGCATGAAGAAGTCATGTTGGAAACATCTAGGATGGTGGCCTCTTCAGGTAAGGGTTCCTCTATGGGTAACTTGTTAAAAATGATTTCATCTCTTCTTTTTTCCTCTTACATTAATTCCACTCCCCACTCATGGTCTTCTAAGTAGCAGAGTTTCATTTATAAGAAAGAGATCAGTGTGGTGACTAAGAAGGATTGACATTCAGTCTTGGGTTATCCTGGGGCTCTTGGTCATTACTGCAGAAATATTGGGAAGAAATTCAGGGAGAGGATGTTTTTGCCTGTTGCAGTTGTACTACTCAGCAACAAATTTTGTCTTGCAATGATATATGTTGTCTTATTGAATGCAAGGGCCATGGTTGAGACAATTTGCGTGCCACATCCTGATATCAAGACTTGTTTTTGCTTTAAATTTTTAACTGCCAAGAATGAGGGTGAGATGAGTCTTTTAAGTTAGCAACTAATATTCATGCTGTTATTTCCCTTGTTGCTTTCTCCGCAGATGCCCAGTAATATATAAATCTATGCATTGGGACAGCATATTGTATGTTGTAGATTATTCTAATTTATTTTTCTTCCCCCACAAGCATTTGAATCAGAGAAGAAGGAAAAAGACCGAGAAGCCAAATTTACTGCCATTGCAAAAAATCAAAACTGAAATTCCTGAGGAGACATCTACAAATAAGTGGGGAAAGAAGGAAATCTGAAAAGAAGCACAATTGGAGAGAAAAAACAATTCTTGAATGTGCGGAAATGGATCGCATCCTGACTCAACAGGATTCCAAAGAAAATGGGAAATGTCAAAGTAGAAAAAGATTCAAAGCAAACCCCAATGTTAGTAACCACTGCAAAACTGGAAAAAGCTCCAGCCGTAATAACCTTACTTCACCTAAAATGATCCAGTCAAAGGACAAACCTAACAACATTGTGGACTGTGGAAAAAGTGACAAGTGGAGAGGTAATTTAACTTCTCGTAAACAGATCCACACCAGAGATAAAATCTATAAGTGCCTAGAGTGTGGAAAGAGCTTCAGGGACTACATTTATCTAACCTCCCATAAAAGCATACATACTGGAGAAAAACCCTCTAAATGTTTAGAATGTGGGAAGAGCTTTAAAAGAAGTAGTTACCTGATATGCCATAGAAGGATCCATTCAAATGAAAAACCTTACAAATGTGTAGACTGTGGTAAAAGGTTCAATATGAAAATTTCCCTTACTTACCATAAAAGGATACACACTGATGAAAAACCCTTTAAATGCATAGAGTGTGGGAAGAGCTTCAGGACTAGTGGTTGCCTGATATGCCATAGAAGGATCCATTCAGGGGAAAAACCCTATAAATGTGTAGACTGTGGAAAAAGCTTCAGTACAAGCAGTTATTTTACTAAGCATAAATTGATCCATGCAGGAGAGAAACCCTTTAAATGCATAGAGTGTGGGAAGAGTTTTACTCAAAGTGGTGGCCTTAATTCCCATCAAAGGATTCATACGGGAGAGAAACCCTATAAGTGTATAGAGTGTGGAAAGAACTACAGAAGTAACCCTCAACTGACATCCCACAAAAGAATCCATTCAGCTGAAAAACCTTTTAAATGCACGGAGTGTGGAAAGCCCTTCAGGAGTAGCAGTTGCCTTGCTTCTCATAAACGGATCCACACAGGAGAAAAACCCTATGAATGCCTGGAGTGTGGAAAGCGCTTCAGTGTAAAGAGTTCTCTCACTTCTCATAAACGGATCCACACAGGAGAAAAACCCTTTAAATGCCTAGAGTGTGGGAAGGGCTTCAGGCAAAGCTGCGACCTTGGTACCCATAAACGGGTCCACACAGGAGAAAAACCCTTTAAATGCTTGGAGTGTGGGAAGAGCTACAGAAACAGCAGTTACCTGAACGTCCATAAACGGCTGCACACGGGAGAGAAGCCCTATATATGCCTGGAGTGTGGAAAGAGCTTCGCTATAAAGACTTCTCTTACTTCGCACGAAAGGATCCACACAGGAGAGAAACCCTATAAATGTCTAGAGTGTGGGAAGAGCTTCAACCAAAGCAGTCAATTTAGTTTCCATAACAGGACCCATACAGGGGAAAAACCTTATAAGTGCACAGTCTGTGGAAAGACCTTCGCTGCCAGTGGCTATCTGATTTACCATAAAAGGACTCACACTGGAGAGAAACCTTATAAATGCCTGGAATGTGGAAAAGGCTTCAGTGATAACCGTTCCCTTATTTCTCATAACAGGATCCACACAGGGGAGAAATAGTACACGTGCAATGAATCTGGGAAGAGTTAGAGTACAAGTCAGTCCCTTACCACATTAATACCTACACGCAGAAGAAATTGTGCCAGTGCACGGAACGTGGGAAGAGTTTCAGATTAAAAAGTCACCTTACTTCCCATAAGAGGATCCACACACAGGAGGGAAATAGAAATGTACAGAATGTGGAAGGAGTTTTTGTGAAAGCAGGATGCTTCTCAAGAAAGAACCCACAGAGGAAAATATCCTGTGGAAAGCAATCAACTTATTTACCACATTAATATGATCCAGATCAGGACCACATACACGGCAGTCTCCTTTAGGGAATGAAATGTCATTAATTTGTGATATGAAACCATCTAAAGTTAGGGAGTAAAAAGAATTACATCTGTGGAAAAATGTGGTAAAACAGTCTCTCTTTTTTCAGAGGATCACTGCAGGAGCAACTGAATAAAGGGATTGATTTTGGAAAGCTCCCAGGATAGTGTTCTTAATTCAAGAGACATTACCTATTCAAGTTAAGGTGTCACTCAAGAAAATATGTTAAAACAATTGCCCCTCTCATTACTCCAAAACTTCACAACCTCAGCTTGGTCAAGCTGCCTTATTTAGGCAGAATCGACGTCTGAAGTGAGTTTGGGATCAGCCTCCAGGCTTTGTGAAGAGCTGGTGTATGCAAGCAAAACAAAGCAAAGCAAGAAAGCAGGTGACCCAAAAACGAGCCGAGGGTCAATACTATTGACATCAATAACACAGTCAGTTAAATCAAAGCACCAGAGGACAGGACAAGAAGTAACAGATGGAATCTACTTGAGGGGAGAGAAACAACCTGAAATTAAAGAGAAACTTCCTAACGGCGAGGACAAGATTTTCAAATGCCACTTTACTGCCTCTATTTCATTTTGTGATATCAAGTTCATCAGAAAGATCAATCGTACTTGACATGTCAGGTTGCTATGGTTTAGGAGAAAACTGTTACTAGCGTGATTGTGACTTTGTACTTTTTAATCCTAATATATTTTTAAAAACATACTTCCTGATTATTAAGAACCTTTCTCGTTTTCTAATAAATTATTGGAAACAATTGTGCAATGTAAATGATGCCCTCCTTTATACACATTGAACAAAAAAGCTAAATGAAGAAACCAGGTAAATATGTAAGAGAACTTATCGGGGGAGGGGGAAGTGTGGAATAAAACGTTAGAAAGCGCTAGAAGGGGGTGGAATGAGTTCAGATCTGACTCAGTTTCACGTTGCGCAAGGATGCATTGAAAACCATGGAATGAGAAAAGCATTAGTAAGATAGATTTATCTATGAAAGAAGCAAACGAGAGACATTATAGCCTATAAAATGTGGGAACATTCCTCATAAAATCCTGGCATTTTTATTAGAATTTTCTTAATTTTACGTCTGTGGAGATAATTCCTACAATTGGGTTAAAGTTGGCCAACTTTTTATTCTTTACATCAGACGACTCAAATGGTAACCAGAGAACAGAAACCCCTTTGCCGCTTTCTACAGCTTGGACATCCATTTGGCCTTTGAGTGGTAGACAAGGATTTGTTCTTCAAGGAGTTGGAGGGTCTAGATGGGTATTAATGGGAAGACATTTATCTTCTAATTTAATACAATTAAGTAATATATTATTTGAGTATATTCATTCAAAGTGTTTCTTATTCTCCAGCCAGCAATTCCACTCTTTTCTCTTCGCTTTGCAAGAGATACCATCATTATTTTGAAGGATATTTGGGGGGTGAGTGGAGTCCAAGGCTGGGGGATGTTCCCAGTCATTCCGCTTCAGCCATGGGGTGAACCCAAGGGATCCACTGAGGTGTTTCCCATCAGAGAAGCTGCTGAATTGAGGGGGGGGGGTTGCCCCCCAACTGTGAACCTTCTTTTGGGTTGGGGGCTTTTATCTGGCTTGCCTAAATCGGTCATTTTAAAGCACTCAAGATGCTTGAGGGGAGCTGGAAAGGTACTCTTGGGGGACACCGTGAGCACGGCCTGAGGGAGAAGAGGGGGCCCAAAGGGAGGCCTTATTCGGAGTCAGAGACAGGAGGAGCAGGATCCATTCTTGAGCTCCTAAGACCGCTGAGGGTGGCACTTTGTTGAGGTTGGCACTTCCTTCAGGTGCCTCTTCCTCATCCCCCTAGCCAGCAAAGAGGCTCCTCCCACCCCTTCTCAGGACCGTCTTTTCCCGCTGAGGGAAGTGCACTGGGAGGGGTGTGGTCAGAAGAGAAGGGGAGGAGTCTCACAGGCTTCTACCTCTGCCGTTTCTCCAACATCTTCTCTAGGGATTTCTACTCGCCCCAACATCAACGGTCTCTCCCATCGCTCCCTCCTTACTGGTTGGGGCTCCTTATCCCCTTCTAGGGACCCTGGACAACATCCCCACCAATAGCAACAGGGGACTTCAACGCAGCCTTTGGATGCTCCCCCCCGCCCGAAGAGAGGAGACACCATCCCAGTCGCTTCCAACATCAGAAGTGGAATTGGGTGGCTGGGGGTGTAGGTGGGCTTCAAGAGAAGCAAAGCCCATGCGTGTCAACGATTGCTGAGATGTGAAAATCCCATACTACTAGCTGATGACGCACAAAATTGTATGAGACCCAGCCAGGCCTGTGATATCCAGGTGGCTTCTATGTGACGCCTCTTGGCCAAGGTCAATCCCTTTGTGTCTATAGGGGGCATTTGACAGATCAAGAGGGGACCAATTCTTTCTGCAGGACAAAGACCATTAGATGAAAAGTCCAAGGAAGCTTGCGGGCAGGTTGTCAGGAAGAATTTCCTCCTGAGCAGGAAAGGCTGCAGGGCAAGGGAACAGCCCACCACTTGAAATACGGAGGTCTCCTGCAAGTCTTCAACCAGGTGGGAGAGCCATTGGGCAAATGCCTGTGTTGTTTGTATGCGTCATATATGTGTGTGGGTATATACATAATTTTGTATTTATTTATTTTGTCATCTTTATGTAGTGTATATTGGAAATGGTGACGCTTTGAGAGCTGTACGCAACAAAATTTCATTTTAATGTATGCGATTAGTGTACAATCAAAATGACAAAGTTGTTCTGTTTTATGCTGTTCTCTATTCTATTTCTATATCTATTCTATTTCTATTCTACGCTACTCTATTCTATACATCAGAGGTTTCCAAACTTGGCGACTTTCTGACTTGTGGATTTCAACTCCCAGAATTCTTAAATTGTATATAAACAGTATAAAGAATAAAATAGCAGATATGTAAATAATAGAAGTATGTATGCTGTATATTAACAGTATAAAGGATGAAATACCAGATATGTAAATATATCTATAAGTATTTCTTCTTTATGGATAAAATACCAGATTTATTTAAAAAGATGTTGAGACTCTAGAAAAAGCACAGAGAAGAGCAACCAGGATGATTAGAGGACTGGAGGCTAAAACATACAACGAACAGTTGCAGGAACTGGGCTTGGCTAGTCTAGTAAAGAGAAGGACCAGGGGAGACATGATAGCAGTGCTCCAATATTTGAGGGGCTGCCACAGGGAGGAGGGGGTCAAGCTATTTTCTAAAGCAGGGATCCCCAACCTTTTCGACGCCGCGGCCCGGTTCCGGCGTCAGCTGGGCGCCGCGGCCCGGTTCCAGCGTCAGCTGGGCGCCGCCATCTTTTTTGACGAAAAATTGCTTTTTTTACCAAAAAAAGATGGCGGCGCCCAGCAACCAGCGGCCCGGTAAGGCTTGTTCCGCGGCCCGGTACCGGTCCGCGGACCGGCGGTTGGGGACCCCTGTTCTAAAGCACCTGTAGGCCAGACAAGGAATAATGGATGGAAACTGAACAAGGAGAGATTTAACCTGGAAACGAGGAGAAACTTTCTGACAGAACAATCAACCCATGGAACAGAAGTTGCCCTCGGAAGTTGTGGGAGCGCCATCACTGGAGACTTTCAAAGAGACATTGGACTGCCATTTGTCAGAAATGGTGCAGGGTCTCCCGCTTGGGCGGGGGGGGAGGGGTTGGACTAGATGACCTACAAGGTCCCTTCCAACTCTGATTATCTGTTATTAATATACCAATAAGTATTTCTTTTTTTATGCTGTATATATATAACCATATAAAGCAGGGGTCCCCAAACTCGGCAAACTTTTAAGACTTGTGGATTTGAATTCCCAGAATTCTCCAGCCAGCATAAGCTTAACGTTGCCAAGTTTGGGGACCCCTGTTATACATCGATGTAGCGAGTAGGGGGGGTTGGACTAGAAACTAGATCAGGGGTGTCCCACCTTGGCAACTTTAAGACTTGTGGACTTCAACTCCCAGAATTCCTCAGCCAGCTTTGCTTCTGGGAGTTGAAGTCCACAAGTCTTAAAGTTGCCAAGGTGGGACACCCCTGAACTAGATGGTTTCCTGGGAAGAACGGAGCACGGAGCTACACTGGTGTTAACCCTTTCGTTGCAACGGCTTCTCTTTCCGCAACGGCTCCCCGCCAGAATGAACGAACCGCCATCAAAAAGAGACGGGAGCGCGTAGCGTTTCAGGTCATCCCACCATCTCGCCGCTAGAGGGCAGGGCGCCGGTCATCTCTCCCGACTCACCGAGCGCCACTGCGCATGCGCTGACTGGCGTCTGACTTGGCTGGGAAGACCCGGCAGTGAGTTGCTCCTCTAGAATCTTGGGGAGCGGGCAAAGGGGGGAGGGGCTTCCTTCCCGCGGGGGGAGGGGCCAGAACTTCCTCTTTCCCACCCTTGGGCAGAGTCTCCTCGACCGATTCTTGCAGGGAAGACAGGAAGCAAACTCTCCCGGAGCCCATGGTGAAGAGGGGGACCCCGGATTCCCCCCCAAAAGGTTTACCGGACTCCGAATCCCGAGGCTGGTAAGGAGGGGGAGACAACCCC